TAGTCAAGAAAAGTTTGTGAACAATCATTGCATGCATCGACGTCTATAAGAAGCGTGAACAATGGTTTCAGTCTATAATATGGGAATTTTTGTAAGTCTTTTAAGAGAGAAGACAATGTATCTGTTAAAAGATGAAGACTAACACTCGTTTGATCATCTGAGATTCATTGACATTCTTGAAGTTTTATCTTTCATGTAGTACATCATCGCATGACAATAGATAAAAATATAAATTGCATATTTCATGATCTGAAAATGACATCTGAGAGAATGAGTTTGTTGAAGTACGATATCTTCGATTGATACATATCCATGTTCCATGAAATTAAAAGTAGATGGTCACATGTCTTCGATTTTGTTTATTTATTTATTCAATGATCACTCGAATTTATCAATGCATCTTCGATTGAAGATCAGATCTGACCTGGTTCCATCTTCATCTTTATCACTAGGTAGTTATCTTCTTAAAATTTACATTTTATTGCTTTGTTTTATCTTTAGTCAAATATAGAACAATGTTCAGTTGTGTCATGAAAAATTTATTCAATAATCAAAACAATAGTCATCATACAGCTTCTATCAATATCTATATGCTCATTTGTCTTAGAAATATTTAATCAATTTGAAATGAATAAAAAACTAACAACGTTATATTCTGCTGTCTAAAATCTGTACTAGAATTAACGAAAAATGGATATAATCTTAATAACTCGACAACAACAACAGCTAGTGATCGGGTGGTTTTCAATAATCGCAAGAGAAGAACTCCGGACGTATTTTTATCTGACACTAAATAAGATAAAATTATTTCAAAACCCATTATCTTCGCAAAAAAAACACATGAAAACGATGCTTTGTTTCAAGGAAATTTGATAACATAGATACGGAATTTTGTTTATTGAACATTGAGATATGAGAATATAATCACCTAAATCGAGCCTTGGAGTATAGATCTGAAGCACATGTCAAAATCACAATTACATCGAAGCATAGCACCATTTACATGGATTTTTAAAAAATTTTTGCGAACATAAAATGTGTTGTTAAATAATTATCTTACATAGCAACAGATAAAAAGGCATTCGTAGTTCACTTCTTTCGATTATTGAAAATCGTAGGTTCCTAACTGTTGTTTTTATCGCATTATTAAGGTAACACTCAACTATCTTTAATTCTGACACGGGCATTAGCATTAAAATTCAATGAAAATTTCTTTTTTTTTTTTGTTGTTGTATCTATTTAATTATTACATTTCATATTATTTTTAGATATGAATTCTTTGAATGGTTTAAATTCAGTCGAACTTTTCGACGATATTGATCATCTTCTCTTTTTGTGTGATCGTCTCAGTAATCGTTTACTTCAAGTTAATTCCTATGTTGATGAAGTTAAACAAACATGGATAAATAAACGACGTTCAATCGAATTAGATTCTAATATCTCACCACTTGTTGCTCAAAAAGTATCAAAATGTAATCAAGTTTTATTAAATGTTGCTGAAAAACTTGCAATTGTTGAACTTCAAACCGAATCATTACATAATCTTCAGTCTTCAATTACAAATATAGTTCCAACTACTATTGAAAAACATGAAGGTAAATCAAAAAAGAAAAAAGAAAACAATTAAACTTCTAATAATCATTTTAATAACTTTCTACAATATTCTAGTATGTCCTTCAATGTCATCTATTAATCAACTATCAGTACGTGCTCCTTCATCTTTTGTACAAGGGGCTAATGTTAAAAATGAAACTGTCAATACTGGATTTCTTTCACAACGAAATATGTCTTCTAGTACAGGACGCTCATTAAATGATCAACAAGTTGGTTTTAATTTTCAAAATCCATTACATGTTGCTACAAATTCAACAATAAATACATTTACACCAAGAAATACAGCAACATTATTTCAAGAAAAAGTTCCAGTAAAACAACAACAACAACAACAACAATTAGAACAACTTCAATCACAACAACAATCTGCTTTTCATCTACCATTAACTGGTCAAAAAGATATCGGTTTTAATCAATCGAAAGTTTCATCACCAAATCTACTCATTTCACAAATATCGGATTTTCCAACACTACAAAAATCAATGCCAAATGGATCAATGAATGGTTATCAACAACAATCATCGAATGCTATGATATCTCGTCCATCAGCTCTGTCAGATACTTATTCATGTATGTATATAGAATAAAAAATAATTTTTTTTTTATTGATTAATGTATTTTTTTTAAATTTTAGCACGAACATTACATGAATCCAATATAGTTAATGGTAAAGTTCGTGTTAAAATGCAAGTTATTAAAGCTAATACTGTTTGGCATAATGCTGATATACCAATTATTGATCATCCATCAGCATTTTTTGTTTGTAATCAAGATCCACGTGTTGCTGAACAATTTAGTATGTTGTCAATTGAAATAAAGTAAGCAATAAAGTATATATATAATAATAGTGATTTTCATCTTTTTTTTTTCTTTTAGCAATTATTATAATAAACCAGCTAATACAACTGTACCTTTGCAAAATCCATCGATTGGTGATTTTTGTGTAGCTCGTTTTAGTGAAGATCATCTTTGGTATCGAGCTCGAGTTGTTCTTATACAAGGTAATTATGTAATATATTCTATTATTCTAAAAATATTATTTTATTTTACTTTAGATGAATCCATATTAATTGTTTTCATTGATTATGGTAATTCAGAAACAAAACCAGCAAATGAAATTTATCCATTACAAGAATCATTAGCTCGTTTACCTGCTATGACTGTTGCTTGCACATTAGCTGAAGTAAGTTGTCTTTTCTTTTCTTTTCTTTTTTTTTATTAACTTTTTTCTTTTATGCAATTAATTTTATAGTCATTTCCACGTAATGAAAATTTTTGGACACCAGAAGCAACTCAGATATTCAGTACACTCGTAAAAAATCGTATCCTTGAAGTTCAATTTCAACAATCCATCGGTCAACAATGGTACATATAAAAATTTTTATCATATGAATTTTGTTTCATTGTTTTTTTCTTTTATATTAGGCCGCTTCATTTTGTTAAAGTTATTCTCGATGGACAGGTAAGTAGTAACATCCGTTGTTTTTTTATATATGTAAAATACCTTTGAAAGATATTCTTTTCTTTTTAACTTCTTAGTCGATTACTCAACATCCGAAAATGACACCATTTATAACGCCAGCTCAAAATGAAGAAATTGCAATGCATTTTAATGATAAACTTACATCAATGGAATATATTTTGTATAATGTAGCAGTTGGTGAATCAGATATTTATAGTGATAGTAAGTATAATAAATATAGAATTTAATATTATTCTTATTAATTGAATATTCTTCATTTAGCTCTTCCATGATAAACTGAATAACATATTTAGTTAACGATATCTAATCAATTGAAAACATTCAAAAATTTGTATTGTTTTTCTTTGTTGTTTATTAAAGATAACATGGTGAATAGGTTGTGATTTCATACATCGCAAAATGAAAACTTAGCTAATAGATATTAGTGGGTTTTCTGTTTGTCTTTTGTCTTGTGTTATTTTTCTTTCTTCAAAGTACTTTATTGTTTTCCATATATACGTATGTGTATGTTTATGTTTATGTTTGTGTGTATGAAACATTTATCTCTTGTTTATGTTCTTGAAAGCACAGCTTTCCCATTCACGAAAAAATAAAAAAAAGGAGAATGTAGTTTTCTATTTTTTGAAAAACAAAAATATCAATATGTTGTAAAGCATTATTTATCATCATCAACTGCATGTCTAATGAGGTATACTGCTCGATGAAACATTATTTGTTTTTACAATAAAATGACTACATACACATATATATATATCATGCATCATCAATCTTCAATAATAGACTCAATGAACACATCTTTTTGTACGTGCTTTTTATTATCAATGTACTTCAAAAATATTCACAATTTTGACACGTTCATAAGTCATAAATATCCACAACAACTTTTTGCATTAAGTTAACATGAATCGAGTGTTGGTATTATTACCCATCCTGTTCATTTTAATAAATCATCAGTAAGTAAATTGTACTAGTCTTCTTTTGTTTGAAAAGACTATTTTATAAATTATATTATCTTTTTTTTTTTTGTTGTTAAGTATGTCTGTGAATACATGCGAAACATGTCATCCTACTAAAAATACATGGTTTCATCGAAATGCTCTTTTTCCGTTGATCGTCGCTGGTACTGATTCTAATATTTATTCTCCAGCATCTTCAATACAACAGTCACCAAATGAACGAAAAATTCGTTTTAAACATGTAATTTTTAGAGGTGATCCACGAGAATTTCTCGGTTAAAATTATGGAATTGAATTAAAATAAAATTTCTTATTGATAATTAGCACCATCTATCGTTTAGTTAGCATGACTATTTTTTTAAAATGAAATTCATATTAATATTTAAGATATCTGAGTTTTTGTCATTAATATTGATGAATAATAGAAAGAAAAGTGCATTTTTCTAATAAATTTATGGATTTTCAAGAATTATATCTGATAAATAATTTTATTGGTGAATCAATCAAATAATGGCTTCACGCTTATACATTTGTTCCGCAAAAAAAAAAGGGTATTTTATGAATTTTAATATCAATTCTGCTTGTTGATCACTAAAAATATTAATAGAAACAATGTACAGTAGCATATTATTTGAATCGAAATTAAAACATTAACGATATTCTCTTAGATAATGTTCTTGATCATATAACTGCAGTCCTATTGAGTTGTATTCTTTGAATATGATCTACTTGCTTGGGGCAAGAACTAATAAAAACAACTGTCAAATGTTGAACATCAACAAAAGCTGATTTAATTAGTCAGTCATACAGCAAAATATTTTTTTTAATTTCACATGTTCTAAAATATACTCTTTTTGTTCTCTTATAGATTAGTTAGATTTTTTTAATTACTCAATAATGACAACTTAACCACTGTACTAATTAGACAATCCTATTGTGATATAGACATGGAAACAACAGAACTCAATACAATCAATCAATCTCAACTCAAGGGTATGCAAGATATACTAACATAGTTTTCGTCGATTGACATTTTACTATGACTGTGACACAAACAGAATATTAACAAGTTTTTTTTTTAATTAGCGAAAAAAGTACATTTAAAAGTTCCTTCGTTTAACATACATTTAGTGTAGCTCGTTAAGAGACAATTCAGAAATCAGGCATCCCTCAGAGACAAAATCATGGATATGAAGTATATTTCTCATGATAATACTTATTATAGAAACTTGATTAATATTCATAAACTACAATCATTTTCACGAATCACTACAGTATAATCTAAAATGTTCAAATCTATACAAATACTTTTTAGTGTTGAAAATGGATCTTCTCAATATGACAAAAGACAAGATTTCGATCATCACTTCTTCGATATGGTACTATTTTTACAAAATCTAATATTAATATATTAAAACTAAGATATTCCGTTCGTTTCAAGATGCACACAGTCAAATACGCAAACTACAGTGGACATTATTGATTACACGGTCGATATACTTGGTATAACCATATCACATAATTAATGATACAATGTGATTCTTATTGTCATTTATACAACCCATTTTTGTTTCATTCAATAAAAGCTTAAAAAAACTTTTTTATGTTTGTTGAACTATATGTGAGTGCACAATGAGTTTTAATATAGTGTTATTTTTCTCTCTCATAATAACTATATATATATAGGATATTATCAAGAGAAACATGAAATGTTGCGTGTTAAAAATTTCATTAGAGTTCACACACATTTGTTAGTGGATTTTCAGTTTAAGACTAATCGACCAGTCTATAGAGACTCTTTGTAAATAGAAGCGCACTGTAATATACTAAAATGTCCTGAAAGATGAAAATTTCGCATTAACCTCTGTGTCTTGAACATGAAGACATGTTTTTAAAAATTTTGCTATACAGATGATTCGTAACAGAAAAACATTGTTGCAAGCTTTTGAACCGGTAGAAACATAGAAGAAAAAATATATGTTCCAGAAAGCCAGAATCGTTAGTGCATGACTGTGATAAATGAGCCGTGAAACAATTCTATTACAGTACATTATTGGTAAGCTAGATGTGTAGTGTGTATTAAAATGGTTGAAGAACAAATTACTAAAGCAAATAATAGTGATCTACTATATAGAAAAAAATAGATATGATCGCCATTTTTTTAATACAGGAGAAAGCCGTCTCATGATCGCTATGCGTGAATAATAAATAACTAGTCGCCTTTTCTATTCGACCGACCCGTCTATAAATGAATCGATACTTATACATACACGTAAATAGCTTCGAATGTAATCATCGTTTAATCTTGAATTGTATCAATAATCAGTATTGATTTTTGAAGTGGCGTATAAACAGATATTATAGAAGATCTGGAGCAGTTCGAATTTCTAGCATTATACATACTTATATATATATAGTATTTTATGATCGTATTGGATTTCAGTCGAAATCGTTTCTATTAGCTATTTGACTTTAGCATAATAATTTTGAATTCACATCATTGACTATCCGATGATTTTTTGTTGTAGAAGTTCAATAGTTATTCAACATCAAGAACCAATCAAAGCTGTATGACAATACAATAACGATTTGATCTCTCATCATGATCATGCATCATCGATCTTTATTCAATTATCTATCCAACAACAAGTATTTCAGCAACTTCATAAAAATATCGAGTTAGTTTTCGAACATTTTCAAATTTTGGTAGGTCCTTAAATTAAAAGAATTTCATTCAATATAATAATTGATATTGTATGATTTTTTTTAGTGAATTTTATAAAACGACATCAAAAAATGAATGATCTTCGACAACTTGTCAGACCGATGACTTTTATATAGTTCATCACTTGAATAAGAGTATGAACAATAGTGAATTTCATCGAGCTCGTATTCTTCAAATTGATCGATATCGTAAGACAATTATACATTTAGTAAATTATATCAGAAATTACTAACGATCTTATTTTAGGTTCACGTTCTCATTAAATTCAATTTTTTTTTCTCAATTTTGGATGTTCTAAATGGACAAAGTTAAAATATCTTTGTCCTGTACAAGCATAATTTGCTCAATTACCAGCAAAAGTTGTTTCATATTCGTTTGATACAGTAGGTATTTGAAATCATAAGTTTATGATAGATTCTATATTAGATAGAGAATAGTTATATTTAAAAGTATGCGAATCAATTTTGTAATAAACAAAATTAAAAAAAAGTTCGATATTAAGTGAAGCACAGTATAAGAAAACTGTTTAAAGCATAACTAAGACAAATAGAACATATGCAAATTGAAAAACTCTTATGAATATATTTTGAAAAAGACGCAGATTATAAAAAAAGAACCAACCTTAAAATATTTTCTACTCTCTACTATTATTTAATTGTTGTCCTTGTTAGAGAGTCTTATAATAAATAAAAATTATTTCTTGTCAAAAAAAAAAGTTTTTCAAGGTTATTACTATTACCAGATGCCATAAAATATATTTATCTTACAATTAAAATAGTATTTTCATAGCTCACCATATTTCTATATTTACACATCATCAAGTAAAAAAAATCGAATTGTAGACTTGTTTTTGCATTATTCGAAAATTAGTAAATATATATATAATATCTCTCGTACTAAGCAAACAGAACCAACATATATAATGATGAGTAATTATGTACATTTTACAACTTACATGAATTGTAAGTGCACATATCCAATGACATATTGATCAGATGAAAAAGAATAATAGAAGAAAAAAACTATAGACTACAAAAATATGCCTGATCATGATTATGATAATTTTTACTTGATGAATATACATATTTGTTGAATATTTTAGGTGATACTATTAATAATAAACGACGATGATAAACAACTTAGAAGTTGATCAATAAATATTGGTCAATTAGCTACAGAAAAATTATATTGATTATTTAATATGAATAACAATTCGTCTAGGTTTTGTTTTGATTATATATATATATATATATATATATGTTTTTCTAAAGATATTAATTGTTTCTATACAAGTTTTAATCTATCTGAAATTAAATAATATCTTTTTTTTTGTTCAATAAAAATTAAATTTTAAAACTTTTAGATTGCATTTTTTCATTATGAACGAACAATTGATTGATAATGCTTTTATCAAGAAATCAAATGAATATAAACAATCAACATTATCACCATTGACCGATATGGCCGATAGTGGTGTTGTTAGTCGTATAACACCATTATCATCAATAAATGAAAATAAACTTAACATAAATCATTATAATAATAATGATGATGATGATGATGAGTCAATAACAACTGAAAACCAAAGTCTTTCATTTAATTTAACTGATATTAGCAAACGTAGGCGATTTGTTTTATCTTTTTCAATACATGTTGATCTTTTTTTTCTGCATAGCGGTACTTAAATATAAAAAATGTGAAGAATATATGCAATATTCAAATTGTCTAATAACTTATCTCGATCATCCATCTGCTATATTTATTCAAATACCTGAAGATGGTTCTGCTTTTCAACAAATGCATCAAGATATGAAGTAAGAATTTTCTTTGGTATTTATTATTATTATCTCTGCTTTTTTATTATTGTATTAACAGTCGATTTTATATGGATAATCTAAATGCATATTCAAATATTTCAATAAATTTTTTTGAAATAGGCAATTTTTGTGTCGCTTATTCATCTCAATATTTTGAATTCTTTCGTGCTCGAATTCTAAATATCGATCATAGAAGTATATAAAATTATTCTTTATAAAAATATAAACAAATCAATTTAGATAAACAATGTTTAATAATATATGTTGATTTTGGTAATTCAGAATGGATACATATTAAAGGTATTCGTCCTCTTCATGCTGAATATACTAAATTAAAAATTCAAAGTATTCCTGTAACACTTTCTTATGTATGTTTTTTTTTCTTGTTATGTCTATTTTTCTTTTCGCTTTCATATTCATTTATAATATAGATTCTTCCAAAAAAAGATTTAAAAACTGGTGCAATCAATTGGAATACAAATACAGGCAAACAATGCACACGAAATTTACGTCGATTGTTAATTAAACCTGACAGTGAGCCATTTTTATTTGTGTCTGTAACATTTCTATCGAAGGAAATTTGGTGGCCATTACCTTTTGTTGATGTTAAAATTGATGGTCAGGTAAATAAAAATGAATTTTCGAAAATTATGTTCAATGGCGACGTATGGTTTTTTTAATTTCTATTTCTATTCATTTATCCGATAGAATAAATTCTAATATAATAAATAGATTTCATTTCATTTTTGTCGAAACATTTTATTTAGCAATATTTTATGAACAAAAAAATAAATACAATTTTGTATTAGAGAAAGTTATTAGAACATAATTTAACAGTTCATAAGATAAGGGTAATTAGAGATGTTGATAGGCTCATCTATTCTTATTAGACTCATGGACGGTATGCAGGTTGGACCTCTGATGAGCCACGGATTGTGTTATATTTTTAGGTATACCCACAGGTTTAACCCATTTACAATTTTCTCTTTTTATTCTTTTATTGTATATATAATTAAGTTCATTATTCATGTCATTTTTTAGCTTCTCTACTGATTTAGTTGCTTTTACTATTTCTTTCGTTCTTCACTACCTAGATTCTTTCAATCGTCTGTTCTCACTGCTTCTTCGTTCTAATCATTCATCTACTTGCTTTGCAACGTATATACATAAGTACGCATTTATATGTTTATGTGCGTCTTCTCTTAAATGCATCGAATCACACACCCACACTCTTGAGTGTATAGTCTAGTTATTTTTCGATTTTTTGTTTTGCACATTTATCATCATTACTATCTTAGTCGAAGTTTTTACATATGGTCCGACATTGAACAAAAATCTTAATTTTACAAATAATTAAAAAAACGAAGGTATAAAGAAAAAAGATGGTATTAATCTACGGGTCAAACAAAAAAAAAATCATTCAACCCGTAAGGCAGACCGTGTTGGATCAAAAAACACTAGTCATCAACATCTCTGGTGGTAATAAAATGTTTTTACTAATCTTATTAAAAGCATAATAATCTTTTTTTCATATCGTTTTATTAAATCAAGAATTCATTTTATTTTGTGAAGGCTTGTTCGTATTTGTTGTCAAGATATTTTATCCTACCTATGTTGTACGTATATAATTCATCAATCATTCAATAGAAGTTTGAATTAGAAGTGACAATATTTGCATTAAATCGGTAGTATCAATCCTCTCTTTAATTCTGTAGAGTAGCTCAATATGTACACTCACATTCTCGATAAAACAGGAAGAAAAAATGTGTGAATGAAAGAGAAAAATATCTAATGAATAGATAGGATAACATGAGAAATGAAAAATATTTTTTTTATTATTATAGGACTTAGCTAATATACTTCATAATGATGGATTTGCTCGTCTTACACGCAATAATAAAGATTTGAAAATGATTTATCCGAATTTTGGTACACATCCGAGTGAAAATCTTATTTTTGGTATTCAACCATCGGAACAATTTTGAAGTATGATTATAGATAAAATTGGATTATTTCATTCTTGTTTTTTTTTTCAAAATCATTTGTTACAGATGATTATCTGTGAAATGATTGAAATATTTTTCGTGTGCATCAAATGTTGTAAGTATAGTTTTAATTTTTGAAATTTTTGAATATTTTTTATCTTTTTAGTCTGGCATATGATCGATTTCTCATAAAAATAAAAAAAAAAAACATTATCTCATCTTTTCTTTTTTTTTTTTCTCCTTATCATTCAGTGTCAGATCGATGATAATGAATTGATATATATGTATTTTCTTTTTTCTTTTTCGTTTTTCTTCCATTTTAAGTCATGATAACAAAGCTTGCAATGACTATACGATTATGATCTTTATGTAGATTTAACATCTCAGTCAATATCAAACGAGATAAATAAAGTAAATGATATATGTGTTGTAGATTTGTTTTCTTGTATTATATAAAACAATCAACAAATTACTATGATCGATCCATCGATAAGATATACTTTTGATTGAATATAATCGACATGATGATAAACTGAATATAAGTAATACAATTATTATTGAAAATTTAAATTTCAATCCAATAGATTTATGAAAATTTGTATATATGAATGAAAATTATCTTGTAACAATATAATAATTAATATTCAAACATCGATTTTTATTTATCAAATTATAGACGAATAATATAAGATTTCTTATTCAAACGTGAAGACAAAGATTTTTCTTTTTGTTCATCATACATATGCAAAAATCACTTAAAAGGTTTGCTTTTTATACTAACAAAATTTTCAATCCAAATAAAGTTTAGCATATAGATAAGGTAATCCATAAAACTGTACCTAAATAATTATCTTTCAACAGCAATGCTCGTTACTTTTTTTACATGAAATTCTTTGAATATCTTACCCATTCATCTAGAATGTAATGAATTTTATAACATGTTCAAATATATAGTGTAAGTTTAGTCTATATCACTTTCACTACTTCTTATAGGAAATTATATAACATAAAAAGTGCAGTATATTTTTTTCGCTCTGTCACATTATAATAATATAAACGTCAAAGAAAATATTTTTCCAAGTGTTAAGTAAATAAAATCTTACCCATTCTCTAAAGTAGGACATATCATATATTAATCTATTAGTCTTTTTGTTTTTATAATCAGTTAATGAGAATCAAGTTTAGAAATCTCCTATCGAATAAACATATAAAGAGTGTTAAATGTACATCGATATCTATCCTTGGATTTGTCTTTGTTCGATCGTGTAATATATTAATTTCCTATATTATGTCCGTGATTACTTTTAAGTAAAAGAAAAAATTCTCTCCGAGAGGTGAACAATGAAGAAATTCATACTATACTCAATCAACTATTAAAATCAGTTGATTATATAATGCATACATATATTTTTATTTCACCTGATGACAAAGAAAAAAAAAATAGTAATCTTGATGAATGAA